TAAGAAGACAGAAGACTCAGTTGTCAGCCTGCGATGTTGGTGGTAAAATGAAAGAAGAAGGAATGGAAAGGAAGAATGAACACAGTCTTCGTCAAGAGCACAACTTCATCCAGTCAATCAAAACTGTCCTGCAGACAATAGATTTCATACTTTCTGGCCTGGCATAAATTTAGCCCTGGCGATGGTTCTTAGAACCAGAAAGGAAAACCCAATGGCCATTTTTAATGCTAGGTGTGGCTGTTGATTGATTTTATGGATTTCTGCCTGGTATAATTTAGCCCTGGCGATGGTTCTTAGAACCAGAAAGGAAAACCCACCAGCCGTTTTTAATGCTAGGTGTGGCTGTTGATCGATTATAGATTTTATGGATTTCTGCCTGGCATAATTTAGCCCTGGCGATGGTTCTTAGAACCAGAAAGGAAAACCCACCAGCCATTTTTAATGCTAGGTGTGGCTGTTGATCGATTATAGATTTTATGGATTTCTGCCTGGCATAATTTAGCCCTGGCGATGGTTCTTAGAACCAGAAAGGAAAACCCAACGGCCATTTTATAGTGCTAGGTGTGGCTGTTGAGATATAGATTTTATAGTTTCTGAGATTGAGAGAAGGAATGAGTGTATGCCTCCTGCCAAATGTTCCTCTGAGCACTGCAGAGGAAGAAAGAAAATGAAAGAAGAAAAAAGAAACGAGAGCAAGAAAATGTCTCCAGCCCAAGTCCTTTTAGCCCTCAGCTGTGATGTCACTTTCTACACTATGATGTAAGTTCAGTTGCGTCTTCTGTCCTTCAATGTTTTGGGATAATGGAGGGAGAGGGATGGTCTTCCATTAATTGTTAGCCTCTTTTGTCTCCAGGTAAGTATGGATAACCCCTGCATCTGAGGTAATATTGTGCATTCTTTAGGAGTAAAACTCCAATGGTAGCTGAAGTAACGTTTTTGTTTTTTTTTAATCTCAAAGACATGTGCTTCACCATCTTAGAAGACAGAAGATTGAGTTGTCAGCCTGCAATGTTGATGGTCAAAATGGAAGAAGAATGGAAAGCAAGAACGAACACGATCTTCGTCAAGAGTGGAACTTCACCCAGTCAGTCAAAACTAACCTGTAGTGGAATCACTGACATTGTAGGTCATTCTCATTAACACACCATACTACACATGTTGTCTGTATCTGTTGATAGATACTAGAATTTCTAGTTTTCTTGCCTGCCATAGTTTTACCCATGGTGATGGTTTTTAGAACCAGGAAGGTCAACTACTCATTTTAAATCTAAATGTGTTCCACGATGTTTATAAGATTCCATAGATTTCTTGCCTCATTGTTATTAGACCAGGTGATAGTTCTTAAAACCAAGAAGAATGTCTTTAGCCCTTTTTAATGCTAGGTGCAGTCAGTGATTATTAAAGTACTAATTAGTTATTGGGTATAGTATAATGTTAGCCATAACTGTAGTTCTTAGAATTTGTAAAAGGTAAAAACTCCCCTCGCACATGTGTGCTAGTTGTTTCCGGCTCTAGGGGGTGCTGCTCATCTCCGTTACAAAGCCGAAGAGGCAGCACTGTCCGAAGACGTCTCCGTGGTCACGTGGCTGGCATGACTAAACGCCGAAGGCGCAGGGAACGCTGCTCCCTTCCCACCTAAGGGGTCCCTCTTTTTCTACCTGCATTTTTACATGCTTTCGAACTGCTAGGTTGGCAGAAGCTGGGAGAAGGAATGGGAGATCATTCCATAACGCAGCGCTAGGGATTCGAACCACGGAACTGCCGACCTTTCTGGTTGACAAGCTCAGCATTTTAGTCACTGAGCCACCGCGTCCCCTTAAATCTTAAATCCCCGTCAAATCTTAGAATTTGAGAGCACCCCCAACATAAATAGGGAAATGATAGTGGGTTGACCCTCAAAGCAAACCCCCATGCATGGTGGTAATGCCATGGCACCCCCTGGTGCAGGAAGTCTTCCAGTCCCTGAGTGGGCGGTGAGGGTGAATCACACTGGAGGAGT